TGTGTGGACCCTTCTTTCGTTGTTTCAAGGGGTGTCATGTTCAGATGCTGACAATAGCAAACTAATAAGTTATGTAAGTGGAATGATGTGTGTGCTTACAGGCTGGGTGTGATCCTGAACAGGCTACAGCATCCCCAAAGCAATTTCAGCCAAAAGCAAACTGTTGAGTCCAAAAGAGGACTGTTGCCCATAAGCACTTTCCCCTGCTATCTGCTCTTTCTTATAAGACGAGGTGATGTGTGATGATGGCAAGACAAAACTGTTTACCCCTGTACCAGGGTAGAAGTGATTCCAAAACCTCAAACCTTGTCTTGCTGCAGTTATTTCAGGTCCCAGAGAGATCTTGCAGGACTGAGGTTGGGTGCATCTCTTGAACTTTGATCTTACATCTCTTGTATCTTGGATGCTGTGTCACATACAGGCAGCGGCGGCAGCTGTAACACCTGTTATGTGGTGCAATATCAGCAGGTTAATTTTGTCTGTATGTTCATATAATATGACAAGTTTTAGACAGATTCAGTGTGCAAAGCAAGAGTATGAGTTATTCATTGTCAGCACTAATGTGGTATGAACATTTTACACAGGAAAAAAAAAAAAGATCATTGCTTTCTAAAGGACCTTGTAACCACTTTTCAGGTTTAGTTCCATGTGTTCATCTGCTCACAAAATCATAGAATAGCTCAGATTGGAGAAGACCTTAAAGATCATCAAGTCCAACCGCAACCTAACCGTGCTACCCTAACTCTAGCCACTAAAATCCTCACTGAGGGTGCAGGAGCACAAATACACAAGAAAGCAATGATGTGCATACTGAAATTACTGTTTGAAAGAAAGATCTGCTGTATTCAACTTCTTTCTAAAAAGGAGAATTTGAGCACACAGTTATGCAGCGTTCTCTCATCATGTCCAAAATCATAGGACAGCTGAGCTGCCTGGATCTTTCAGTTATGTGCTTCAGCTGCCTCCCATATGAGACCTGAGTTGCCACATCCCCATCCCAGTGAGCAGCTTTAGTAGTGGCTGAGGGAACCCCCACCAGTGATTACTGCAGTGGCAGTAGAAGTCTCTGGTAGCCATTACTTCTGCTGGAACTGAAGAGATATTCCAAATTCCTCCCAGTGTTACCTCTGAACTCCATTTGATTTCAGAGGCTGAGCAAAGGACGTGCTTCAAGGCTGGAGAACTCATTTGTGCTCAAGTGGTGAAGGATGCTTAATGATTTTATTTGACTGAGGCAAAATGAGGAAGGAAAACGATGTTTAGAAAAATTCCCTTGAGAAACATTTGCTTCTTTGTTTCTGTAACAGATTACCAGGTGATCTCTGCTTTATCTCATTGCGGCGAGTTGATGTGTGCTGGTGGATTTGGTGTTGATGGGCTGAGTGTGCAGAGCATTTACACCTCCCCTCTGGGAGATTCACAGGGTGCCTCTGACCAGAAAGATGTGGAAGAGCTGACTGTGGTCAGACACAAAAAGCAGGCATGAGGCTTGCCCCCAGGCTCCGCTCGCCCCAGCCCTGCACTTGGCATCAGATGCTGAGCCTCTTCCAGGCAACAGTGCAGCCCACTTTTAACTGCCATCATCCACCTGTAAAAAGGGTAATCGTGTACTGCTATAAATTTCTTTTTACCTCAAGGCACTTTTTCATACAGAATGTGTTACTTCGGCGTCAAGATATTCAAATGTTCAACATCATCAAAATCAACCAGTCAAGACTTTACCCATTGCCTGGGTTTGGCATAAATCTGATTGGCTTCTTTTGTAGCCAGCCAATTTAGGAACCAATTATGTATTTTCATGGTCATGAAAACAGCTCCTCTTTGGTCATTGTAGTAGATTACAGATTGTAGTCTGACATCACTCAACTGTGTAGCAAATTGTCAGAAAATGAAAACTCCTATTAGAACACTTACAAATCTCTGTTTCAAAATGACTACTTAGCAACCATCACAGCATCTTTATAGAAATGTCACTACCCTCGTTACATCTGTACCTTTCGTTCATTTCTTTCCCCCTTTCCAATTTTCTCCCAGCATCTTGCAGCTTGCCTATTATTTGGATGTATAATTAGAAATCCATTATTATGTTTTATGGAGATGTAAAGAGTAGGAAGAAAGCTGCATAACTACTTTTTACATAGAGCATGCAAATTATCCACCTTGTGTATTTTGGCTCTGAATGTTCAGCAGATGTAGTTTCATTTCCCTTGGATCTCTGTTTATCCATTTTTATTGCTAGTCATCAAGTATAGAGCAGAAAAATCAAAATAGGAGGGGGCAGGGAACTTCCCATAGAAGCAGCTTAGCGTACCCCGCCTGCAGAATGGTATCAGCATTAATGTGCTTCACCTACACAAGTGCTGTGCATGGCCATTATTAATAATGCATGGTCTTTAAAACCCTAGGAGCAATAAACATAGCATGAGAAAACGGTCACTGACAAATCTGAATAGTTGGGAAAGGGCTTTGAAGGATGTGATTTAAAGCGTTCTATCCAGACAGTATGCATACTAAAAGAGGATACAGAATGGGGCTTTGACTGCATCTCACATCTCAGGATGAGCGAAATATCTGTTCTGAGCCTGATTCTTCCAGATGACATTTCTTCTGGTTTTGCACACCTGAAATATCCAGCCATTCGGTACACTCAGGAACTCAGGTGGTGGACATGGTTAGTGGGCATGGTGGTGATGGGTTGATGTTTGGGCTAGTTGATCTGAGAGGTCTTTTAGTGCAGCTCTAAATGCCTAACTCCCTGATAGCCATGCCTTTTGGAAGTCCCCTCTGCAGATGCCTACTGGTCTGATAGGGATGTGTGAAAGCGGCTCCTGGAGGGAGTGTAAAAGTAAAAAGTATAAAATAATCCTTATTTTAGTAGAGGGAGGAGGTGGGAGGAAGTTTCCAGTGTTCGAGCTGATGCTGACTTCAAAGGAAAGGAATTTCCTTGCTGGAGGTGTGATGCAGATATGGGACCAGAATTACAGCTGCATTCACAAGGCACGTTCCTGTTCGAGGCTTCGGTGGCTCAACTGAGCTTTCCAATCATTACACTGCGAAATATAAGGCTGCACTTAGATGTGCATTTAACAAAATAAAAAGAACACGTAATTTTTTCTGAATACTATTTCACTGAACTCCTTAAGCCAACAGCTGGAAAAAAAAAGACAGACACAACTCATCTGCAGTATGTAGCCTTTTTTCCCAGTTATCACTCTGTATCGCTGCCGGCCTTGCTTAACTTTTAATTTCACGTACCTGGCAAAATAATACATTGCCAAGAGTACCAGCCTCTTTTGGTCATGGTAGAAGTAGGAAATAGATCTTGGTCAACCCAGCGTTACCATTTAATGATTAAGTAGGATTTGACCGAAGTATTATATACATATAATTAATATACACATATAGGCATATAGGTATTATATGAATACATTATGTGCATTAGAAGTAGAAAAGGTGAGACTGATAAAGTTTATTTTTTCTCACCTTAAATAATTTTGATGATCTGAACATTTTAGGGAAGCCACAGAGCTGTAAAGATTGAAGTAATTTAGAGCTTCAGTTAAGTTCCTATGGCACTGGACAAGGACATAGGAAATAGCTGGTCCTGCTCTTTTACAGATCCTATGTATGACGGTAGAGAAATTGCTCACAGCCTGACCGTGAGCTGCTGGAGGTTAGTAAAGCTCAAGCCAAGTGAGTGCAGTTGCCCATTTAGCACTTGGTCTTTTTGACTGTCCATCTCACCATCGGCATTGGTGAGGCTGCATTACAAGTACTGTGTTCAGTTCTGGGCCCCTCACTACAAGAAAGACATTGAGGCCCTGGAGTGAGTCCAGAGAAGGACATCGGAGCTGTGATGGGTCTGGAGACAGATCTTATAGGGAGCTGAGGGAACTGGGGTTGTTCAGTTTGGAGAAGAGGAGGCTCAGGGGAGACCTTATCAAACTCCACACTGAACTGAAAGGAGGTTGTGGTGAGGTGGGGGTTGGCCTCTTCTCCTGGGTAACAGAGATGGGATGAGAGGGAATGGCCTTAAGTTTTGCCAGGAGGAGGTTCAGATTGGGTATGAGGAAATATTTCTTTTCAGTAAGAGCAGTGAGGCAGTGAGGCACAGGTTGCCCAGGGAGGAGGTGCAGTCACCATCCCTGGAGGTGTTCCAGAAGCGTGTGGATGTGGCACTGAGGGACGTGGGCAGTGGGCATGGTGGGGGTGGGCTGGCAGTTGGACTGGATGATCTGAGAGGATTTTTCCAGCCTTAATGATTCTATGATTCTATGGCAATGTCCAAGCTTCCTATAGCAAATCCAAATAAGAGTCATAGAATCAGAATCCTAGAATCAAAGAATCATAGAATGGGCAGGGTTGAAAAGGACCACAATGATCATCTGGTTTCAACCCCCCTGCTGTGTGCAGGGTCACCAACCACCAGACCAGGCTGCCCAGAGCCACATCCAGCCTGGCCTTGAATGACTCCAGGGATGGGGCATCCACAGCCTCCTTGGGTTGATGCCTGTTGATGCTTGGCACTGCCCCTGACCTTTCCTGTCCTTCCCTGCAGCCAGTGACACGCTACTGTTCTCACAGTGTATCCTGAGACAAGTTTTCACCACTGTAGCAGTGCTGGTAGCACTGGATGTCTCGAGATGCTGCTCGGAGTGAACTACACTGCTGTCCTCTTTGCTCCAAGCTGGCCAACAGCTCTCAAAGGCTTTAGGGAACTTTTAATATAGGTACATGAATGTCACCTGTTGGTCAAAACTGGCCTGTGGCTTTTTGGTATTGCAGATAAAATTGTGAGGGTGAGAGCCTGGGCTTGGGCCGTAGAAAGGAGAGACAGTCAGATGTCTTGTTTCTGCTGCTGCAAGCAGGACTGGAGAGGTGCAATGAGTGAGTACTGCTTTGTGGTAAAAGAAGACCTTCCTCAAAACAAGAGACATTCTTCTGGACCTGCTCTCCAGCTCTATACAAGCTGAGTGGATAAAGAATAAGTAGACCCCGTCTGTGCAAATTTTTTTATTATTATTACTTTTTATTATTATTATTATTTATTTATTTGTTTTATCTCTGGCGAGGAAGGCTACCATAACATTTCATCTTCCTTTGAAGGAGGGAGTGGGACCTGGAGGTATTGGGGCTGTTGCTCACGTGTTGCCATGGCTAACTGCAGCCTTATCCTAACCTCGGCCAGGGCCTCAGTTCAGTTCAATCAGGTACGGATCAGAAAGACTCCAGCTGAACTCCAACTCTGCTGTGGGTTGTGTCTTGCAGGTTCAACAGCTGTAGAAACATTTTAATCACAAGTTTAAGAAGATGTAGCTTTAGATGCATCCATGGAGTCGATCTGTTGAGGAAGCAGGTGCCGATTTTCCATAGTTACTTTTAAGAGCCAAATTGTGCTTGGCTGCTGATTTTTAGTTTTAAGGCAATATTGAGAATGTAAAAAACCCTTCTTTTCTTTTCTTTTCTTTTTTTTTTTTTCTTTTTCTTTTTTTTTTAATTCGATCCAGCTGGAGCTTGTACTTCTTTAACTTTTTTCTTTTATTATTTAAAATCCTTAATTATCTGAGACAAAATTGGTAAGGAAATCTGCAGAATCTAGGGATTCCACAGAGCTCTCTCTATAAACACTCAGGCTATTCACTGGTGCCAAATAGACATGTGCCAACTCTGAAACACCCACCCACTCTCTCCTTCTGCCGCAGCAAACTAATAAGCACATTGATTACATTCATTTAAAGAAAAGCACTGCTCTTTTAATCTTTACATTCCCTATACTTTAGATTTCTGATTACGAGAGATATCCTGTTTATCACACTTTGCATGGTGAAAAAGCTACTTGACACACCTCAACGCACTAGATATTTTAAAAGAATATTTTAGAGGATACCAGCGAGTGGTAGTAGGAGATAATTATCATTTCCTGCAAGCTGTTGTTGTGCTATTCACAAGATGAACGAGAGGTCTTTTAAATGTGATTTTTGTAAAGGTCCCTTAAATGCCTTCAATTCCCCCAAACAAAAATGTTCACATGCAGTTCTTCTCTTGCTTTCCTCTCTTCTCCCCACCCTTCCAACTCCAAAATCTAGAACTTTGTTAGAATAATTCAGATGCATATAGGTGTGCATGTAAATGCATAAATGCAAACGAAAAATAGGTACCCTATGTGTGTATCATACATAGAATCACAGGATCATAGAATGGTTTGGGTTGGAAGGGGCCTTAAAGCCAACCCAGCCCCAACCCCTGCCATGGGCAGGGCTGCCCCCTCCAGCTCAGGCTGCCCAGGGCCCCATGCAACCTGGCCTTGAGTGCCTCCAGGGCTGGGGCACCACAGCTTCTCTGGGCAGTTCTGCCAGCATCTCACCGCCCTCTCAGTGAGGAACTTCTGCGATGGGGCACCCGCAGCTGCTCTGAGCAAAGTGTAAACCAATCTCGTCTCTTCGAAGCAGCAGTTTTCAACTTTTTAAAATTCAAAATCTGGCAACAATTGACCCAAGTTAGGTGTAAAAACCTTGACAAATGTAACGTGCATGTTTGTGCATGTATCTATGCCCGCAGACAAACACGCTTATCCTGAGCGGAGCGCTGTGAAAAGGGCCCTCCGGCTCCATCAGCCATTCATCTGTCTGCAATTGAGATCTCCCTAGAGGAGGATCACAGGAGATGACTCTTGACCTCTGCAAATATGTGCTGACCACGATGACGCAGCCTGGGCTCCTCTCTGCCTCGAAAGGGTAATTCAGCAACACTTCCTCAGCCCAGCTGTCCTGGTTTCTCTGAGGTGTGCTATTTCTCCACAGCAGCAGCGTTGCAATTGTATCATTAACATTAGAAGCATTTGTTGGTAATAATTGCCAGAATCTAATGTTAGCCTGCTGATGTTAACAGGAATTTCAGAAAGGAGCCAGGAAGGGCTGGACAAAGAGTCCCCATGGAAATGTGCTGAATAGAGTGGACCTGGGAAAAAGTGAAAAGCTGTTGATTTAATAGAAGTAGATAAAGAAGGGCACTTCTGAAAGTGGTCTGAAGTAGGAGTGGCCTTCATGGAGTGATTTTCAGTATCTGTGATGCTGAACTCTCTACGCTGAGTGCTGTTGTCCATGGAATGTAGAAACTTGCACGTCTGTAAGAGCAGTTTCCATAATGCAAATAACTTGTATGAGTTCCTAAAACCATTTCTGTTCATTGATCACCTGGAGTGAACCCTTTAGGACTGAAGTCCTGTCTTCACACTACGCAGTTGTATCTCTATGGCTGAAGTCGGGTGGGTGACCCCACAGCTCCTATTCTTCAGGTTATTTCCTGTCTGTATTTCTGGGTGTATGCATATGTCCACAGTTATGGACTCAGCTTGGTGGTTTCCTTTAATACAGCTGTTAATAACCGGCCAAAAACTTGTAAGCTTCTAGAAACCTGTCTTTTTGCCCTTAGCCCTGTTAACATGTTAGTTAATAGATTGAATTTTTCACTTAAATTCAGCTAAAGATAGTCAGATAAAGATATCAGAGTAAAGCTACTCACTTTTTTTTTAATCTATATTGTTATTCCATATATGTACATTCTCAATAGCTATTCTGGTAGACTTTTAAAGGTGGCATTTGCAAAGAATTCTTCCTAATATTTTGACTGCTAACCATTTTTTTCCCCTCAGAATAGCTTTTCTAATAGAACAATTCAGAGAAAGCACTATCATCATATCATAATGTACTGTGACAAGGACTGTTCAGCTTTACATTTTGTTTAATGTATTCTCAGCTCTTCACTGTGGATGGCAAGGGTGACTTAAGTAGATGAAAGGAAAAAAATACTTGGGATAAACTCTGGCAAATCCTGTCTTCCTATTTTCCACCCGTTTTTAAGACACATCTTTCTGTCTAGCATCTTCCAGCTAAGATCTCCTATGATTCACCTTGGCAATATTTCCATAGACTTTCCAAGACTTTGAGATAATCTCTGTCCTTGGAAAGAATGGGGCAACCAGCTAGCAGAAAAACCAAAAATCTGCAGAAATCGTGGCTCATGGTCTTTAATAGTTGTATTTGGTTTTTTATATTTTGTTTCCCAAAACTTAGTTTTGTTGTTGTCTAAATATGAAGTGTTTTGTTACAGGTTTGGATCTAGGCCACAAATAAGGAACTAAAGAACACCCTAAATTTTCAAGTGCTGACAAGGAGCCCTCTAAAGGACTCCATAGAAATTGAAAAGCATTGAATGGAAAGGCATTTTTTCTGAGTCCAAAGGCCTTAATATAGTTAAGAAAATATCTGTATGCTGTAGGACTTTGTTCCTCTTGCTACATATTTTTCTTGCTGTTCCTGCTGAGACATCTGACCGTAGTGATCCTTACAGAGAGGATTCTCAAAAGGGCTGAAACCTTTCAAATCTTAGTGCTTATGCATTTTCTTGTCTTGACAGAACAATATGAAACAGTTGACCTTGCTCAGAGCAATTTCATTAATGCTGAACAAGATGGCACCTGTACTGGGTGTTGGTCAGGAGCTGTCTAAGGCACTTTCTGAAGTACCGTGAAGCAGTAAAAAAAAAGGCAATTGAAAAAAATTTGTTGCCAGCCAAATAATGCTTCTTGTTTTAATGTGAGTTTGTGGGTTGATTAATGTGCGTGTTAAAAAGGAAGAAATAAAATGCTGTACATCTCAGATGTTCGCCTTCTCTTTTCTCCCTCCTGCCCAGGAAGACTCACCGTCCCTGAAGGCGTTCCAGAACCGTGTGGATGTGGCTCTGAGGGACGAGGTCAGTGGGCATGGTGGGGGTGGGCTGATGGTTGGACTGGATGATGGTTGGACTGGATGATCCGAGAGGTCTTTTCCAACCTTAACGATTCTATGATACTTACAACTCTTCGTAGCTGGGTTTCGCAAAGGTAGCGCCCTGCATTGAGCAGAGTTTTCCTTGTCTGCCCACCAGCTAACTTCAGTTTTTCCCTTGTGCTTGCTCCAGATGGATAATTCTGGAGAGGAGGAATAATCTCATAAATAGGCTTATTCTCCCTTCTGCATTGCCTTTTTTTTCCATGATGTGCTGGTTGCTGTGCCTTTTCCCGACACATCGGAGCTTTATAGACTGGAGTGCCATCCACGGCACGCTTCCTGTCCTGGAGATTGTGTTCAACACAGATGGCTCTTTATTGCTAAGTGTATGTGAGATCTAAATTGAATGTGCTCTCTTGTCTAATATTTAACAAAGCACATTTAGTTAATGACTAATGTTTCATTATTGCAGGAAGCTTTTAGTACCAAAAGGTTAAGTGGTTCATTTGAATATTGCCCGAGTATCTTTGCCCTGTCAGGGTTTTTTTTCCTGAAGTTAATTTGCTATTGTTGTGATCATGTCTGACAAGTGCTGGCTAGAAGCGAAGGCAGGTTATGGGGATCTGTTTCCACGATATAATTTCACTGGTATTTAGCAAGCTGGATTTTAGCTGAGCAGCTAATTTGCATGGACCCTTATTCAGGGATGAAAAGCCAGTTTGGAGCATAGGCCATCTTCCACTGGGAGTTATTTGCATCTGAGGCAAAGGATTCCGGAGGAAGTGATAAAAAAAAGTGGGCAAAATTAATGGAGCCAGAAGAGGTTAATGGAGCTACCAGCAGAGACTTACTGTATATTCACACATGTAGAAGAGGAGGTTTAGGTATTGTTAAATATAAAATTGTAGTGGCTGAGTACTTGGAAGTGAGTTTTTGCTACTCTGATATTAGTGATATAAACTCTTGTTCTGTGGTCATAAAAACAGAAAATATTCATTTCCCCATAAGAAAAAAGCCCCTTTGCTACTTTGCTAGTGCTGAACAGGTTAGGCTGCCAGGCAAAGTGTGTGCATCTAAAATAAAGAAACCTATTATGAACACAGTAGCGAGCGCATGTCACAGAATGGCCAGGGTTGGAAGGGACCTCAAGGCCCATGAATCTCCAACCCCCCTGCCACAGGCAGGGCCACCTACCCCCACATTTAATACTAGACCAGGCTGCCCAGAGCCCCATCCAACCTGGCCTTGAACACCTCCAGGGATGGGGCATCCACAACCTCTCTGGGCAGCCTGTTCCAGCACCTCACCGCTCTCTCTGTAAAGAACTTCCCCCTGACATCCAACCTAAATCTTCCCTCCCTCAACTTAAAACCATTTCCCCTTGTCCTGCAGTTATCTACCTTTTCAAAGAGTTGACTCCCCTCCTGTTTGTAGGCTGCCTTTAGGTACTGAAAGGCTGCAATGAGGTCACCCTGCAGCCTTCTTTTCTCCAGGCTGAACAAGCCCAGCTCCCTCAGCCTGTCTTTGTAGGGGAGGTGCTCCAGTCCCCTGATCATCTTTGTGGCTCTCCTCTGGACCCTCTCCAACAGCTCCCTGTCTTTCTTGTACTGGGTCTCCAGACCTGGGCACAGTACTCCAGATGGGGCCTCACAAGAGCAGAGTAGGGAGGCACAATCACCTCCCTGTCCCTGCTGGCCACCCCTCTTCTGATGGAGCCCAGGATACCATTTGCTTTCCGAGCCACAAGAGCACACTGCTGGCTCATGTTAAGCTTTTCATCATCAAGACCTCCAAATCCTTCTCCGCAGGGCTGCTTTCAAGGGCTGCTCCTTCAGTCTGTATGGATGCCTGGGATTCCTCCAGCCCAAGTGCAAAACTTTGTACTTTGCTGTGTTGAACCTCATCAGGTTCACCTGGGCCCACCTTTCTAGCCTCTCACATCTTGAGACAAGGCCCTACATTGTATTTAAATGCACAGAGAGCAGCACTCCTTCATATCCTCAGTACCATTTCTGTAGACACCATGAAAGGGGTGGCCCAAAGGGATGCGTAGGGTACAGGACACTCTTCTTCTGCTGCAGAGCGATGGAAAATGAAATGATTCATTTTGATTGACACTTTGAAAGGCAGAGTATGACCACGATGCATGAGGAACTTAAAAGAAAAGATGCTGTGTCCAGCTTTCTGTTTATTGAAACTAAAAATAATAGAGATGAGGTATATGACAGTCAGTGCACCATTCCTGGCTGCATTTCAGAGGACCAGCGTGGAAGCTCCTGGATTAATGCACAGCGTGGAGTTTGTGTAATGGGGAATGGCAAGTTGTGTGCTCAGGGATGCAGCAATGCATCCACAGGGGCAGCAGATGCTCCAGTATGCCAGCAGCAGGTATGGGAGCTCGTCCTAATGTGCAGGGGGCAGTCAGAGGATGACTGACATCATCAGCAGCAGACTGGAATATGTCCGCTCCACAGATCTGATAAAATGTTTGCCCACAGGCAAACTCCAGCACGTGTGAATAGAGGAGGAATCGCTAAGTTTGTGTCCAAAACTGATGTGTTCATGCCTGCAGGTCCTTGCAATGCTCAGCTCTGTGTACCCTTCAGAAAAAAATGTTTCTGCTTTGAGTCTCATACTCAGAGAAAAATTTCCTCAGAAAGTCAGTAATTTTTTTTTTTTACCTTTTCAACCCAAAGCTGTTGAAGAAGACCTCAAAAGCCTCCAACACTTCCCCTGAATGCATGCAGACTCTCTCCTTGCAATATTACCCCCTCCTTGACCTCACATTCATTGAAAATACAGAACTTTGCAATGCTGAGTTGCTATTTATAGTTAGTTATTATAACAGTTCCATAAAAGTATTCCTCTGGGATCTGAATCAATGTAATGCTCTTCATAGAGTCCTTTAGTTTTCAAAGTTGTGTACTGACAAAGCTGGTGGCGCAATTGCCTTTTAAAAACGTATTGAACTGGCCTGTTTGGCTGAATAACTGTTAGAGCAGTGCCTTAGTTTCAGCTGTGATGGAACTGTTTTCTTCAGAGTGCCTGATATGATGCTATGCTTTTGTTCTAGGGGAAAAACAATGTTGATAACACACTGATGTTTATGATTGCTGCTAAGCAGTGCTGTACAGAGCCAAGGTCATTCTCAGTGAAAGGCCCAAGGAGCTGGGAGGGAACAGAATCGGGATAGCTGACTTAGACTGGCTGAAGGGATATTCCATTCCATACAACATCATGAGGAAAGAGTTTTGAAGGGTGTGGAGTGCATCTCTCTCTGTTCCACTGCTCAGGGGCTAGCTGGGCTCTGGTTGGGGGATGGTGAGCAAGTGCTTGTGCGTCACTTGTTATATACATTCACATATAGACATATGTATATAGACATAACCATTATATTTTCCCTTTCCTCTATCTTAGTAAATAGTTTTATCTCAACCCATAAGTTCCACTTTGTTTTCCTGATTCTCTCCCCCCATCCTACTGGGAAGGGGGAAATGAGCAAACAATTGTGTGGTGCTCAGACACTTGCTGGGTTAAACCACAGCAAGCAGTGAATACTACTGAAGACAACAGAAGGTGTGAACAGCACAGATTTCCACAGCACCTGTCCTGGTAGATAAAATATGTCTACCAGGAGATCCTTCGTCTTATAAGTAACCACCAAAGAATAGAGAGGAAGGAAAAATTGTCTAAAGACAGTACTGGGAAATGTAAATAAGTTTCAGAAGTGTTAGTGCTGTAAATAGAGAAATCTTGTCCTTACCTGTGCTTAAGCTGCTGGCAGATTCCCATGTCCCCACACCAGTCTCTAGGCAAAGACAAGCTCCAAGCCCTGCCTGGCTAGCAGCAGCTCCCAAAGCCCAGGAGCCCACACCATCTCTCAGACAGAACAGTCGCTGAATGCAAATGCACACCAACAGCAGGTCGTGGCTCAGTCACACTGAAGAACGAACGGGAATCATCTGTTGTCTGCATAGATCTAAAAACCACACTTACCCATATGAAATGCCACAAGCTGCCTTAAGCTGCTAACTCCATCATGAAGCCAAGTCATCTTTTTCTTCTAAGGGAGAATCCTGCTAATCTTTTGCAAGGAGGAAATTGAAAAAGATGGGTGGTGAAGCGAAGCTGTTATGCAGGTTGTCACAAGGTCAGTTAATACTTGCTGCTCACATGGCTTCCACCAGGGCAGTCACACTTCATTTTCCAATTGTAACTGCTATGCCTATTGGTGAAGTAGCTATTATTAGGCTGTTCTTGCCCCCTGTCTAATTCTGGAATCTTAATTATATTTTTCCTTCTGCCTTTTGGTGCAGGTGCAGTGATGAGGTGACATTAAGTCTGTTTCATATTTATTAAGCAGACTTGTTATTCTCTTTTTTGTGTATATCTAAACCAAGAAATATCTTGAGATTGTTGAGGATATGCCTGGCGCCTTCTAGCCACTTACTGAGAGGGAGGAGCAAAAAGAGCAATGCTGCATTTCAGACGACAGCACAGGTCTTGCAGTCTGAGTGAGGCACAGGGAACAGGAGAGGAAGGAGGAAGGGCAATGGCAGGAGGATGGAGATCATATCTGATTCTTTGGGCAATGATGACAAAGCCACAGCTGGAAGCACAGCCTGCAGCTGGAAACGCTGCCCTAAAATTTGGGTGGGCACTGGCAGCATCATCTTATTTTTCTTTCACCTCTTCCCCTCTTCTGCCTTGCTTTCATTCCTTTCTTCATCCTGCCACTCACCGTCCTCTGGATGCCTGGTGCCATTTCTGCAACTTCTATCCTGGTAAAGCACAGCATGCTGATCCCTTCCTCTATTTTCCTTCCAAATGCTCCCTCTCGCTCCCTGTGTGATTGTTCACAGACCTCCCAGATCTCATTCTTGTATTTGTTCTCTTGAATCAGCTCTTCAAAAGCAAATCCCAATTGTGCTGAGCCTTAAATATGGAATAGGAGTAATTAAAGCAATGAAATAATAGAGGGATGACTTTGGTTTCGAACTTAGGCGCACTGGATGAGATCCTTGACACTTTATGTGGGAGTGGGATTTTTCTCACTGTTTCTGAATTAATAGAAGGAAGTAATGTGATGTTTTCTAAAACACTAGATGAGGTGGAATGTGGGAGACGCACTCGGTATCTTTGGAAAGGGCAAGTTAATGAGCTTATAGTGCAAGATCTGCACATGCAGACCTTGTATGAACACAGACCACGTGCTTCAAAATGCTGATAATGGAGATGGTAAACACAGTGGTGATGCTGTAGAGGTGGGACAGGGCGAGGAGTGGAGAAGGAAAGAAGACCCTTGATAGCATTCCAGTGTGCTCTTGGAGTGTGTCCAGAGGAGGGATACTAAGATGATCAGAGGGCTGGAGCACCTCTCCTATGAAAAAAGGTTGAGGGAACTGGGCTTGTTTAGCTTGGAGAAGAGAAGGCTCTGGAGAGACCTGATTACAGCCTATTAGTACTTGAAGAGAGCTCACAGGCAGGAGGGGGAACTGACATTTTACACGATCCAATAGTGATAGGGCAAGAGAGAATTGTTTTAAACAGAGGGCAGGTTTAGGTTAGATTCTAGGAGGAAATCCTTCACTCTCATAGGGCAGTGAGGCGCTGGCACAGCTGCCCAGAGAAGCTGTGGTGCTCCAACCCTGCAGGCGCTGAAGGCCAGGTTGGATGGGGCCCTGGGCAGCCTGAGCTGGTGGGGGGCAGCCCTGCCCATGGCAGGGGGTGGGACTGGGTGGGCTTTGAGCTCCCTTCCAATGCAAACCATTCTGTGATTCAAGCAACTTGATATCAGACAGGCAGAAAAAGCACAAGTGTAGGACACCAAAGTATCAATAATTAGTTGCAGCTAAATGAGAGTTTCTCCCTCCTCCAGCACTGACATTCATCTGGTTGGTAGCTTTTGTATTCAACCATCACATTTCTAGGCCATTTAACACTGAGAATGAAAACTGCTATCAGAACAATTTCTGCTCCTATCACGTCCTGGTCACTAGAAGACCTAGAGGCAGCTATCTAGAACAAGAGCTTTCAGGAGGGTTTGTAAGAGGGAACATTAAACAGACTCCCTGACAAATTAGTACGTAAGACAGGCCACAGAAATACTCTGAAATGAGATTTGAAAAGTTAAAACTTTTCACTAAGTACTGAAATTCTTTTTCCCTTTGCAAATGCAAACCTCCTGTACAAAACATTTTTTTAAAAGCAAATATAAGTACATCCTGCCTTTGTCCCATCTTCAGTTGCTTAAGGTTCAAGCAGAAAAAACCATACTTATGTCAAACTCTGGCAGCTTCTAGCAGGACACTCCTGAGCCACATTGTATGAAGAGATTACAGTCTGTGACTTTCAGATAGAGGCAAAGAACTGACATGTTATTGAATATGCCCTGTCCAGGTCAAAGAAGCATCAAACAGATGCTCCTGAAGCTGCTGTCAGCCATAGTTCCTGCAAATCTCAAAGAGCCTCATTCTCTTCCAGAAATCTCCTTTTATTGAAATCTTCTGTATTACCTGAAAATTAAAAAACATCCCTTAAAAGCAGAGGCACCTTTTAGCTGTTTAGGTGCCACAGACGCTTTTGGATGCTTAAGCATTGCTTTCCTCTGGAGAAGACCTGATTCCACTCTAGGTCCAGTCTTGTCAGCAATGGCCTGGAACCATACAGCCAACCCAAACCCAGGCTGACCCTGCTGTGAGTCAGGCTCGGGCTGTACCGTATCTGGAGAACCCAAACAGCCCAAGTTTTCCTGATTTCAACACAACAGTGACAGTCAGCTACGCATAGACACAGCAGTGCCTTCAGGGTGTTACTGGCACTGACAGCATTGCTCCTGACTGCTATCAGCTTTTGAGGCACTGTTATCACCAGCCTCATTACCTACTGGAAACCTGTTGGTGTTCAGCCATCGGCGTCCCATTGGCAGCACCGGCCTTCTGACCTTGTGCTGTCCTGCAGCTGGGGCTGCTGGGTTTGGACTGAGCCCCTGGGGCCCATTGCTGCCAGAACAGTGATGCTCTATTGATTGCCTTGGAAGGAGCTGCCATCTGGGTGATTAGCATGGACTATTTTCCTCTGTCAGGCAAAACAGACTGAACTTTCACTGTGCAAAAGCCACAATTGATTCTTTTTGCCTTTTTCTTTTTGATGCTGCCTTTTTGCATTTCCATTTTTGTTGCAGTAATGCAATGAGGTAATGGCCTTAAGTTGCACCAAAGGAGGTTCAGGTTGGATATTAGGAACAATTTCTTCTGAGGAGGAGTGTTGAGGCAGTGGCACAGGCTGCCCAGGGAGGTGGTGGAGTCACCATCCCTGGGGGCGTTCAAGAAATGTGTGGATGTGGCACTGAGGGACGTGGGCAGTTGGACTGGGTGATCTGAGACATCCTTTCCAGTCTTAAGGATTTTTTGCTTTGCAATCCTTCCAGCATTAGGCTGTACTCCAGCCTCTGCATTTCAAACACCCTCTGTAAGAGGCTTCTGAGGACCCCCCCAACATACCCAAAAAGCCTTTGCTTCAGCCAAACAAATAAACCAAGCCTGATGGGGCTGCAGGAACCTTGCCAAATGAGTGCAAACTGCGAAACAAGGAACCCTGTCAGTACAGTTTATGGTATTTCTACCAGTTACATGGTGAACAGCTTGTCTTCAGCATCCCACAGAACCCCATAGCATCATTAGGACCACGTTCCCTAGCAGAAATTGCCCCAGGCTGCTGCCTACTTTATCCTCTGTTTCATGAGCACCAAGCAGCTCCAAGGAGATGGAGCTGAGCTCACAACAGACAGACAGGATGCTCCCCCAAATGCTTGAACAAGGAGAGAAAAAAGAAAAAAAAAGGAAAAAAAAAGGCAACACAAGAGTCTAAATTTCCAGAGAAGGCCAGAAAACTGCCCAGGCAGCAGGTTCAAAGCAGCTGAAAATCAGAGAAGCAGCACCTATTTTTTCCCACATATCCACTAGCATAACCATGGACTTAAATCACAGAAGAGATGACTTTGGCTCCATAGAGCACGTTCTGGCTTCCCAAATCTTTAATGGCAGTGGCTACTTTCACTGGAATACGTGAAAACATCCAGACTCAGTAAGATCTACCAGTGCTGAAGAACAACCCATTGGTCTTCATGGACACCATGCAGCTACTGAATTCAGCCCTTCCATTTGACCTCCTTGGTCTGTTGGACACTGAATGAGTTCTCTAACTGAAGAAATCCTTGTCCTTCACTCGGCCATTCACATCCCAATGCCTTTGCATCCACGAATGAATAACAAGTGTAATTAAAAGAATTTTTATTACAAATTAACATATTTATACATTTGTACATCTCGCATACTGCTGTTCACCAACATAATCATTAATTCAGAAAGCATTAACAGTACAGATTTCCACCAGAGCAATTTAATGCAAGGGACTTAGTTTTATAATCAAACATCACAGAACATCATTACCTTTCCTTTGTCCTTTAAAAATAGCAGCACGTTTAGTTATCAGTGCTCACAGGGCATAAGCTCTAACGTTTTGTACAGCAGGAAAAGAACAGTAGAGGCAATAGTAGGGCAACTCAACAGAAAGGTACTGGTTACAGTAGAGTCAGATCTAAGCAAATAGAGAAGGGTAATAAAATGAATTTACCTCTGACAACTGTAGAAAATAACATTTTTAATGTCACTTGGGATAGGAGTCATAACAAAATCTCCTATTTGCAGGACTAAGTAGACAGTTAGGATAATGCTTGTGTTTTCCAACACCTAATAGAGGTCTCAAAACATACGTACTCCCCATCCCTACCCCCACCTTTCCACAGCTGATGTTATTCAGGTTTCATGCTGGTGATGTGCTTAAGTGATGCTAAGGAACATCCAGAACTCTCCAGACTTACACCCACAACAATTTAGTGTTAGAACTGTGACACAAGTTAGAGCTTTTGGAACTTGGAATGTGGGCACTAAGTACAATTTCCCCCTGTAGCCCAGAAGCCACAATGCTGCCTGAAGCAGCCCGTAGGTATTTGTGATGTGCTCTGTAAAACAAAATTTGTTTTCTCCCACACTTACAGCCCGTTATCCCTGTACTATTATTGACATGATACTTTTACCTCTTTAAATCATAGAAATTAAGATCAGAAATTCCCTGTAGTAAAGCATATGGCTATTCATTCAAACACAGCAGCAGATTATG